GATATCGATCAATACACATTAGCCTTACGCTGCCAAATTTACTTCTCGATACTACAGAAAGAAGGTTTCACTGTTCTCGATAAAGCTTATATCATTATATGAAATCTTTCTCTTCTGTCTATCGATGATGTTCATCTAGCTGATCGTTAGTCTGCAAAACTGGGACCAACAAATTCGGTCCTTTCACGGTAGTAAACTTGGATTATTAATGCATGCATCTCATGGTCAATAATCTAAGGGGAATTAATTACATTGATTAACCAATAAACCGCTTGTGTTGAGGTTATCAATCTCAATCGTTTTCATCTTAAGTTTATTGCTACTATCAAGTTAATATACGGTGCTTGTTCTATATTAACTCGATATTAAGTTTTATTAATGAACGCATCTCGTTATTAATAACTACCCTCGATGAACTGGATATACTCCTCGATTGAGTATTCGAGAGGAAGATAGTTAAAGATATAACCGGGATCGACGAACATTTCATTAAGTGGATAAAAGCAAAACCAAGTCTTCTTCTCATTAATTAAACCACATAACTCGTTCATCTTTGTGTTTTAATATTCTTAAAAGTACTTCAACAACAAAATCTAAAAACCCCCCTTATTACTAGTTATAAAAAGAGAAGTATTCCTTTCCCTGCGGATACGAACCTTACTACGCTATACTACGTATAAGTGTTAGTATTGAATTTATTTTGACGCACCGTGACAAAGTGCTCGTCAAATTTGGCGCTGTTGCCGGGGAGAGGCAATTATTTTTCTTTTTCTTTTATTTCCAGAAAAATCAAAAAAATTAAATAAACAAAAAATATAAAGAGTTCTTATTTTCTATTTCTGAGCTTTGTTTGAGTATATGGTTAAACACCGATCTATAAACCAAATCACCTACCAAACAAATCCCGAAACAGAACAAGCCTTCGAGAGGTTTAGGAATTTATTTCCGAATACTTCTTCGGAGAAATCATCAAGTGCTATTTCTATTCTAGCGAGAACGAAGAGCCAATCACTATGGCTCAAGAAACAAGAACGTTGAGGGAGCTCATGGCTCCTAACTTAAATCAACAACCTCTATGTATCACCTTCCCCACTCTTGATGAAGGTGCTACATTTGAGCTCAAATCGGGCCTCATTCATCTACTCCCTTCATTTCATGGCCTAAGGGGCGAGGATGCAAACAAACATCTTGCGGAGTTTCATATAGTTTGCACTAGTATGAAACCAAATAATGTCACGGAAGAACAAATCAAGCTGAGGGCCTTTCCATTCTCACTGAAAGACACGGGTAAGGATTGGCTATTCTATCTTCCTTCGGGGAGTATAGATACATGGGCAGCAATGAAGAAATGCTTCCTAGAAAGGTATTATCCCGCTTCTGTCTCATCATCTTTGAAAAAACAAATAAGCAACATTGATCAAAAAGATGATGAGTCCTTATATGAATATTGGGAGCGATTCAAAAAGTTGTGTGTTAGTTGCCCATATCATGGGTACACTGAGCAAGACCTCATCCTTTACTTTTATGATGGTCTTGTTGATGATGATGAAGAATGGTGAATGCCGCTTGTGGGGGTGGCATTGTCAACAAAACCCCCTCACAAGCAACAAACTTGATCTCGGAGTTGGCCGAAAATTCTAGGCATTACAACGGGCGGTCCTCAATCCGTAAAGTTGCCGCGGCGGAATCATCTTTGGAAAGTCAAATGGCCGGCTTGACTTCTTTGGTTAAGGATTTCCTCTTAAATCCTAGAACCCAAGAGGTCAAGGTCTGCGGCATATGCACACATCAGGGGCATCCAACCGATTCTTGCCCAACTCTCCAAGAAGAACAAGTCAATGCCTTGGGTTTTCAATCTCATCAACAAAAGAGGTACGATCCCCACTCTAACACTTACAACCCCGGGTGGAGAGATCACCCGAATTTGAGATATGGGAACCCTCAACCACAACAAAATCATCCCTTTAACCAATCCTTCCCAAATCACCAAGGTCAAACCTCAAGCTCAACTATGTCCACCGAAGACATGATCCGAGCACTTGCTACAAATATGTCAACGATGCAACAAAGTGTGGCTCAATTCCAAGAAACAACGAAATCCAGCATCCAAAACTTGGAAAATCAAATGAGCCAAATCTCATTTGCGGTGAGCCGCCTTGAGGCAAAAGACGGGTAAACTCCCATCTCAAACGGAGCAAAACCCGAGACAACATGTTAATGCAATAATGTTGAGGGATGAGACAACATTGAAAGAGGTGCATGAGGAAGAAAAGCAAGCTAAAGATGTGGTTAATTCCGTAGAAGATTTTCAACCAGATAAGGAGGAACCAACAAAATCTAAAAAAAAACCCTTATTACTAGTTATAAAAAGAGAAGTATTCCTTTCCCTGCGGATACAAACCTTACTACGCTATACTACGTATAAGTGTTAGTATCGAATTTATTTTGACGCATCGTGACAAAGTGCTCGTCAATAGACATGGCGAAAATAGAGGATTTCGAAAAAAAAGCTTAATGAAGTTGAAGAGTTTCTTAAATTTGCACTATAACAAAAGAATTATATGGATGATGATAAAATAAGATTTCATGGACAAAGTGTAAAAACCTCAATTTTAAAGACAATGAGCAAGTTGGGTGGTATTTGTACTCCAAATGTTTTGTTGACAATTTTTATAATTGGACTTCTCATAGCAAAACTTTAGATCAATCCATCACTTTTACCCGCTCACCCCTACCAAGATGAGTGGCTGGGGAAACTATGATCAAATATCGTGAGAACATAGAATGGTATATGATAATACGGTGCCTCAACTTCTCAATTTAACCCCCCACAACCATTTAACAATCCCCCTAAAGCCTCGAGCTCATTTCAACTTGATGCGGATGAAGATCCGAACTCTTATCAATCTGATGGGGATGAAGATATGAACTCTCATGTTCATCATATTGATGATTAAGGAAAGAGATTTCAAGATGTTTTAAAAGTTGTCGATCAACTTTTTTAGGTTGATTGTGAGGGTTACTCTCAGCTATCCGTTGTTTCAGAGCTGATGAATATTAAAGTTGAATCCAGTCTCACTGAAACTTGCATGTTAGCCCTTCTAGGAATTAGAATTTAGCAAATAGTTTTTTTTCTCTTTCTTTAAGAAAAGAGTTTAGAATATATATTTTTGTGACATTTTGATTTTAATAAAGGTGATGACGGCTAGAACATGCTACATGACGAGATTGGTAGTGGTCAATTTATTTTCATTACATTGCATTATTGAAGGTATTATTATCTTATATTAGGTCAAATAAGTGTTATTTAATGAAGAAATGTTGCATGATTTAGACCCCATTTGGTAACACTAAAATTGGTTGAATCGGCTGATTCTGTTGAAATTCATGAAATTCTGATTGAACTGACTTGATTGGCTAATTATGCTGATTTATTAAAAAATTATATTTAAAATATTTATTCATAAAATACAGAAAAATTATATGAAAAAATAGCTAAAATGATCCTCTACCGCAATTTCAGCCAACACAGCAAAAAAAGTAACTCCAACTTTACTTTTTCTTATTATTACAATTTAGCGTGCGGCATCAAAAATTACATGTTTGGTGAAAAAGTTGGCTGATAAGCCTAGTAGATTGGAAAATGGAGTCACCAAACAGGCACTTAGACTTTTAGCAGAAAATATTTACCTAAATGATGAGATGAATTAAATCTAGGAAAAATTGAAAATAATAATCCCAACTATTGTCGGTCTGCTGACAATAATCCCAACTATTGATTATTTTTGTATAATCCCAACTTTATAGATTGTCCGCCTATAATGGTCCATGACCAGATATTACCTCTATAAAAAGCAAATTTAAAATAGAAATTAAGCGTAAAAATTAAAAGTTGAGATTACTTATAGGGATTACTTGTTATATCTCATCTCATCCACTTTAGAGACTCTAAGAATTTATTCATAGGGTCCATGATTGGCGGAAGGTCCCTAAAGTTGAGATTATTCTGGAATAATCAATAGTTGGGACTTGGGATTATTATGAGCGGACCGCCAATAGTTGGGATTATTACTATCAATTTTTCCTTAAATCTATAGAAAGAGTCACATCAAGTGGTAGCTAATAATTATAATATAAACATGTTAAAACTATGCAATGAAAATAAAAAGACTAATGTCCCATATTCAGAAACGAAAAAAAAGATTTCAATTTTAATTAACAAATAGTACTAAATTAAAGTTACATCCACGAGTAAAAGAATTACTCTTTATGCAAAATTTAGCTTATTTATCTAGCTCTTAAACACCATGTGAGGATATGATTGTTATATGTAATTAATAAAATTTTCAGAGATCTAGATGTGAGTTTTTTGAGTTTATGACAAATCGATGGAAAAAATGAATGACGGCACGATTAAGACGAAGTGTCTTCTTCTGGTCGTGAGGCAGAATGTTGAAGTATTTCTGATACCAGTAAAACATGAACTAATAAACTACTGTGTAATACATTATGATCTCGAATTACTTCTCAAGTTCTCATATATACCTTTTAAAATGGAACAAGTCTTAACAGAAAAACACATGAGCACCTGACTCCTTTAGTTTTTCTTTTTAGCAAATATGGTTTCCCTTATAAGCATTCATATTTATCTTTGAAACATTTCCGAGCTATCACTTGATTGCAGAACAATTGAAGCCGTGAAGGCAATAAAATCAGGTATAGTCACATAGATCTATAGTGATCCCATTGTTCTTTCTTTTGGTCTGATCTACAAAGCTTAATGAATAGCCTGATGAGAGATATTGAAATGTTATCACGTACTATGTATTATTATTATTAGAGCACATGTACTGTAACCTCACTGTAGTACACTCTTGCGTGAACACATGCATGTATATTGCATGGACCATACATGCATGTACCTCTCCTTTTTCCTATCACACATTATCATTATTATTATTGTAGTATAAGTAGGCATGCACGCACCCTCACTACAGGGTGCAGCATTCTTCCACTTTCTTCTTTAATTATACATTATGGATTTTATCAGTTTATTTCATATCGATTTTATCATGGTATCAGAGCCGAAATCCTGGAAACAAAAAATCTAGTCTCTTTTGTTCTCCTAATTTTCTTTGTAGTGCTAATGTGAATATGGCATACAAATTGTCACATGCTCATTCTTGGATAATTGATTCCGGAGCTACTGAGCATATCACTTGTAGTGATATCAATCTTTTTAATATTGTTAGCCTTGTGCCAGAATCGTCAGTTAAAATTCCTAACGGAGAATCAGTTCTTGTTCACGCTGTCGGAAGTTTATACTTACTCAATGGGCTCCGTCTTGAACGTGTTCTATACATCCCAAAATTTCAATGCAACCTACTTTCAGCTAGTCGTCTAACTAGCGATTTAAATTGTGCATTGATTTTTTTCTCCGATTTTTGTGTCTTTCAGGACTTATCCTCGAGGAAGCTGATTGGTGGTGGTAAGTTCCGTGATGGTCTTTATTATCTGGAGTGCTCGAGGAGTGAGGGGGTGGCAATGTCAGTTTCCATTACCTCTGATTTATGGCATCAACGGTTGGGTCACGCTTCTGATGGAAAGATACATCACATTAGTTCACTCAAAGGATTTCAACGAACTAATAATTTTTGTGATCCTTGCATCCGAGCCAAGCAGACTAGACTACCCTTCCCTACAAGTACCATTAAGACAACTCGTTGCTTTGAATTGATACATTGTGATATTTGGGGACCCTATCGGTGCGACTCAATCTCCGGTGCACGGTACTTCTTATCTATTGTTGATGATTTTACTCGAGGTGTGTGGGTTTATTTAATGAAGAATAAATCTGAAGTGTCTCAGTTGCTAATTCAATTTTGCAACATGATTTACACTCAATTTGAGCAAAAGGTCAAACGGGTACGAGCTGATAATGGTGTAGAATTTCAAACCAACAATTTAATTGATTATTATGGGCGCACTGGGATATTATTAGAAACATCGTGTACAGACACACCACAACAAAATGGAGTTGTAGAACGTAAGCATAGACATATATTGGAGATTGCAAGGGCTTTGCGTTTTCAGTCTGGATTACCTATTGATTTTTGGGGCGAATGCATTTTGACTGCTGTTTATATCATAAATAGGCTTCCCTCGCCCGTTATTTTCAACAAAAGTCCGTTTGAGATGTTGTTTGGGAAATTGCCGAATTATGACCATTTACGGGTGTTCGGGTGTTTAGTATATGCACACGACAATAAAAGAAAAGATAAATTCAGTGAAAGGGGGAGTCCTTGTATATTTATTGGGTACCCGTATGGACAAAAGGCTTATCGAGTTTTTGATTTACAAAAACAATCTGTATATAGTTCTCGAGATGTAACATTTTTTGAAGACAATTTTCCATTCAAAAGTGTTGAAAACAAGGAAATGGATTTTGGTATTCTAATTGATCGAGTATACCAGCAATTGTTAAATCAAAACTCTACAGCAAATAGTCCACCATCCTGTGATTCATTTTACCGCTCGGGCTCCAACACTGAAGCTCAGCCGTTCATTCAAAGAGAGGGGCCAGCGGTTGTTCGAAAGGAGAGTAGGTCCACAGGAACACATGCCAGTGAGTTTTTTTTGGATGCACACAGTAGCTCCGCACAGCTCCCAGATCAAGAAAGGATAACAGGGCCCACAACAATGAATGCAGATAAAAATAATATCATCCAAAATGGGAGCCTCCCTGGTGTGGTGAGCGTGGATACCAGCGGCCGAAATGAGAGGGTGATAAGCAGGTCTCCAATGAGTATAGGAGATCTCCCTGGTGATAGCATTAATGTTTTGGGTGGGAGCTCACAAGTGGAGCATCACCAACAAGCAGGTACAGGGGGTCCTACACAGGAATGCATGGATGAAAGAACTTATTTGGATGGAAGCTTACATCCAACTTTCCAGACAGAGGGGTCTAGTCATGTACAATCTCCAGTTAATGGTTCTAATAATATCACTGTGCCTCAAAATGAACCAAAGAGAGGTGAAAGAATTAGAAGACGTCCGAAACACTTACAAGATTATGAGACTGATTTGCCCCCCTCGCTAGACCATTCACAGACCACTGATCAATCAGCTCACTCGATGGTATATCCTATTTCCAATTTTATTAGTTATGATAAATTTACACCTACTCACAAAGCATATTTAGCGGCCATCACTTCACGTGATGAGCCGAAAAATTTTAAACAGGCCGTACAGGATCCTTTATGGAGAGCGGCCATGCAGAAAGAAATTACTGCCTTGGAAGAAAATAAGACTTGGACCCTAGTCGAATTACCACCGGGAAAAAGAGTTGTGGACTCTAAATGGGTTTATAAAATTAAATATAAACCTAATGGCGATATAGAACGCTACAAAGCTAGATTGGTTGCCAGGGGATTTACTCAGGTTGAGGGAATTGATTTTCATGACACATTTGCACCGGTGGCGAAACTTGTCACGGTGCGATGCTTACTAGCCATTGCAGCCAAGCGCAATTGGATAGTTCACCAACTTGATGTAAATAATGCATTTCTCCACGGAGATCTTTCCGAAGATGTTTATATGTGTATTCCCCAAGGTTTCCTCAAGAGTGGAGACACTCGTGTTTGCAAATTACAAAAGTCCTTATACGGACTACGTCAAGCTTCCCGCAACTGGCATCAAAAATTTACTCAAGCTCTTCATGGCATAGGCTTTCGTCAGTCCCGGGCAGATCACTCTTTATTTATTTTCCAACAAGGTCCAATCACTACTTTTGCTCTTATTTACGTCGATGATGTCATTTTGGCCGGAAACAACGCCCCTCATATTTCCACCGTCAAAGGTTACTTGGACACGCAGTTTAGTATCAAAGACTTGGGAAAGTTAAAATATTTTCTTGGAATTGAAGTTGCTCGCTCTCCTGACAGTTTTATTCTAAGTCAAAGGAAATATACTCTCGACATCTTAGAGGAAAGTGGTTTTCTGGCGGGACGCCCCTGCTCATTCCCCATGGAGCAAAATTTGAAACTTCGCCCAGACGATAACAGCCCACTAGTGGATGTCTCTTCATACCGAAGACTGATTGGCCGGTTGTTATACCTCACGGTAACCCGCCCAGATATTGTTTACTCTGTTAGTCAGCTCAGCCAATTTCTCAGCAATCCACGCCAAACCCACCTAGATGCAGCCACACGTGTCTTGCGCTACTTGAAACAAACACCGGGCCAGGGCATATTTTTATCGTCCGATCCTGATTTCGGGTTGAAAGGATATTGTGATTCTGATTGGGCAGGATGTCCCTTCACACGTCGCTCTAGTACTGGATATTTTATCACCATTGGTACTTCCCCAGTATCTTGGCGCACGAAAAAGCAATCTGTTGTCTCCCGTTCTTCTGCTGAAGCCGAATACCGTGCCATGGCCATCACAATTAGTGAGATATTATGGCTACGTTGGCTACTCCGAGATCTTACAATCAACCACACGGGTCCCACTCCTCTTTACTGTGATAATCAAGCAGCACGTCACATTGCACTTAATCCTGTATTTCATGAGCGCACCAAACATGTGGAAATGGATTGTTACTTTGTCAGAGAGCGCGTTGCCAGTAAAGAAATTCAGCCATATTCCATACACACGGACAATCAAGTAGCAGATATTTTTACCAAAGCGCTCGGTGCTGATCGATTTCAATTTCTCCGGAGCAAGTTGGGTGTTTGTGACCTTCACACTCCACCTTGAGGGGGAGTATTGAAATGTTATCACGTACTCTGTATTATTATTAGAGCACATGTACTGTAACCTCACTGTAGTACACTCTTGCGTGAACACATGCATGTATATTGCATGGACCATACATGCATGTACCTCTCCTTTTTCCTATCACACATTATCATTATTATTATTGTAGTATAAGTAGGCATGCACGCACCCTCACTACAGGGTGTAGCATTCTTCCACTTTCTTCTTTAATTATACATTATGGATTTTATCAGTTTATTTCATATCGATTTTATCAAGAGATTCTACTTTTGTATGGTCATTCTAATCTTTCAAGTTCTCATTGCCATTTCCCCAGTATCAATATGTTCAAAACAGTGTGCAGCATATATTCACATCGAAGTAAAGTTAGTAATAAGTCCTGAGATGTTCTGTATGCATGTCTTAATAGGTCAAGTATAATGAATAAATAAAAATAGAACCAACATACACATTTTTTAAAAGTGAAGACAAAGAAACTACTGAGTCTATAGGTTCTAAATAAGAGAGTTGTAGTTGTATAGTATAATATGCCAAATTAATGAACTAATTGTGAAACGTAGTTAAGACTTAAGAGAACAAGTCTATTTCTACTTCGTCTTACCATCTAGGCATGTATTCTACTTCCTTGCTTCTTTTCTTTAACTGGAAAGAATAACAATGTATTCGCTCCTGTTTGTCCAAATGTTGAGCTATTGAAAAAACAGACTAATAAGAATAGGCAGTGATCAATTAATAGTTAGCCAGCAATAAAGCGGGTCAAATGTGGTTCTTTCTGATATTATAAGAGGCATTTAGAATCTAAATTCTCCTAGTAATAAAGCGGGTATAGCCCGAGAAATATGTACATGTGCCATATTTTTAGTGCAATGATTGCAAAGCCAAGAGCAGGCTCATATACTCCATCATAGCTAAACATGAAAACGCTCATGTAGATTATTTGAAAAGCTACTCAAAGGAGTTGCATACAGTCCAAAGTTCCAAACTAATCAAATACATTGACCAAACAAACACAACTTATTTTCAAGGCTTTCTTTAAAAAAGAGTTAATAGCTTAAAAGCCAACTGATCATGTATCCAACATAACATTAGACATTTAACTAATCAGCTGATGTTTCAGTTGTGAACTAGTTTATTGATCATCATGTTTTTTCAAACATAGGCATCATTGCTATGAAGTAATAACTTCACATTGTTTGATGAAACCTATGCAGCTATAGTCAGTTAACGTAAATTGACTAATTGTTGTGCTTCAAAAGCAGACTACAACTTTGGACACTTCGGATGTATATACTCTAATAAAAGTGAGAATTAATGTTAATAGAAATGTTTCTTTCTTTGAGAACTTGTCTCACTCATGTTTCTTATTTAACACATGCATCACAAGGAAACAAAGCTCTTGTTGCTTGTTGATGCCCCTTTGTTGTTTTGGGGACAAGTCCTTATATTATGCCCTTTTTGCCCACATATCCTACAATGATTATACTTCATGACCTTTTTCCTATGTACATAGTTGCTCCTTTGAGCACATGTCCTACGGTTGTGCCCTTCGCTAAAGCACAATCTGCAAACATGGGTTTTCGGAGTGTTTTGGGGACTTGTTGCTTCTGTGTTGCTAGGGCACGTTCTTCTGTTATGACCTTTTTGTCCGCATATTCTGCAATGTCGATTCCGTCCTGCCTTTCTCTTAAGTACAATTGCTGGGCAAGTTCTTCTGTTATGCCCCTTTTCCCCACATAAATGACATCTGCAGCGTCTGTCTAGGTCCTCAATGTCTGGGCAGTAGTGTTTCCTATGTCCTTCACGCCCACAGTTTTTGCAGTGGAATTTCATGGCTGCATGAAAATTAGTGTCCATTTGGAACCTGGAAAATGTTAGTAAAAGAAAATAGGATACGATTTACGAATAGAAGAAAACACTGAAAGACAAACTAACTTTACTTATATACTTCTACTTAATACTAGTATAAACTAAGTAATAGAACTGGTTAACACGGGCAATGATGCTACAGACTTACGGGTATTGGAGAAGTGATAGGGACAAGGACAACAGGACTAATAATAGAATAATATGAAATAATTGTGTTAGTGTGCCAGTGAGGGTTATGGGCCGTGAAATGTATGAACTTGGGCAGGCCCTTAACCTAAAGGATAAGAATATTATAAAGTGGGAAAGGGGAGCCTTTGCAGCACTAGGGTAATTATAATGATATTAATGATGATGATGGGGGAATAAAAAAGTAGGCTGGGATTATCCTATAGGCGTGGGACTTGGAGAGTTGGCACTCTTTAACTGCCGTTTTATTTTCTCTCTCTTATACAAAGTAGAAGGACAAAATGAGGCAGTTTTGATGAAAATTACAAAGTACGAGGACGAAATTGATGAAACGTAAAGTACGGGTGCTGAATTTACATAATACGAGGGCCAATTTAATACTTTTCTCAAAGTTTTATAAAGTCACAAAAGATAAACTCAAATTTAATAAAAGTGTATATATGAAGTAAAATATTAAGAAGTCTTTATGTTGACCAGAGAATAGTGAATGAGAACATTCTAAAAAGAGGACAACACGATGCATATTGACGTCCTCGCAAGGCGAGAGTCCAAATAAGGGTCTCACCACAAGGTGTATAAGGAGCGAGTCTTTTCTTGTCATTTTGACAAGAGACCGCTCCCAAGATATGAACCCGTGACCACTCAATCACACAACAAGACCGTAATTGGTGAGCCAAGGGTCCCCTTCTTATGAAGTACCAACTCTGTTTCCACTAAAGTTTCCCAATTTAAAATAGCACAGTTATTTAGACAATAGTTAGATAAGGTAATTCGAGTATATTTGAAAAACAGTTTTGATGGGTACATAATATAATGGGTCATTGATAATAACTGTAATGTTATAGAAGTATTATTTTTAATATTTGATTATTAAATTATCATTTAGAAGTGCTTTTATTTCCTACAATAGAAATGGGAACCTTTAACTGGAACGTTTAAAAGAGGTAAGTGAGAACCTTAAGCTGGGACAAAAGGAGTAATGTTTATCAAACACAATTTATTTTTCTTAAGTTTCTTCCTCCCATTTCTGGCCCCTATAACTTTAAATGCATTTCAAAGATAGCCTCAAACGTCAAGTAAAAATAAAAAGGAAGTTGCGAACTTGCAATCATAATACAGACACTAACCCAAGAAGGGTAAGAAACACACATTTCATGATAAGACTTCTCTTGCGACGGTTTTCTGGATCTCGAAAGTACTCTTTCATGGCTTCTGAAGAACGTTTCCTAGAAGCAGTTGTTCTTCTAGCTCTCTGCATAAACAAACAGTCTCACGCCTACTTAAAGGTTCAAGACAATTTGACCACTCCATTTGACTTGCCTCTAAGTCCTAAATACTTCCTCGATTCTTTTTTAGTTGCAACATTTTCTTTTTCACGCTTACCAATGCACAAGTTCACAACTTTGACCATCATTATATTTAATTCCTTAATAGTAAAAAAATTTTAAAAACAGATTATGAAACTTTGTAATGAGACGAATCCAACAATATTTTTCAAAAAAAATAATTAACATACATTAATAAATAAAATGTAGTCAAAGTAGAGTACATGAATAGTGTGTAAATTCCATTGTTGCAACTATTGTGATACAGAGGATAGCAAAGGTGTAAGGGGGTATGTAGACAGTCTTACTCCTGTACTAGTTGTACACAAAGAGACTGTTTCTGGATGACTCATAATGAAAATTGCATGGAATGACCGATGTTTCATAACAAAAAAGCGCATATAGTTTAGTGAGTCATTTTGCTTTATTCCATTATATTTTCAAGCCAAAAAAAGTGAGTCTTTGGCTCCATTGCAAATGATGGAAATTAATTTTCTCATCACACAGCGACTGTTGATCATGCTTTCCATCATTTGTGATGGAGCCAAAGACTCACTATTTTTTGGCTTGGAAATATGATAGAATAAAACAAAATGGCTCACTAAACTGTCTGCGCTTCTTTGTTATGAAGCAGCAGTCAATCCATGCAAATTTCGACGCAATTTTCACAATGAGTCATCCGGAAACAGTCTCTATATGCATTAGTTCAGGGGGTAAGGCTGCGTACACCCGACCCCCCTTACCCCATCGTAGGTGAGAGCCTTTGCAGCACTGGGGTAATGATGAAGAAGAAGACAGCGACCGTTGATCATGCATAAAATCCTATTTCAGTCAACAATATCAGCACGATCAACAGTTCACGTGAAGCCTTCCTGGTCAAAACCATTACAAGGGACGGACAGTGTTCTTTTTCTAATGAGCATTACTTACAAACTTATATTCTTCTTTCTGAAAATTAAAAAACAAAAACCGAAAAACAGAAAAAACGAAGTGTTGCCTAACAAGTAACAACACCTTATAATGAACATGGACACTACTTGCAATTGTGCTTGTTTAGAGGTGAATAATTTAGAGGTGAATGAATTAGAGGTGAATAATAGAACCTTAATGGCAGCCACTCTTTGTGCATGACGTAAAGGATCAGCGTGGATAATTTTCATCCTCTTACTAAATAATCCAGTTTTGGCATTCAGGCTCTGCAATCATTCAATTTTTGCGGATCTAAGCATGCATTATATATTAAATGCCAATTAACCACTACAGTGTTTTCTGAAACTAAAAATTATTCAAACTTAAGAAACAAGAAAAAAAATATGCATCCAATTTGCTATAAAAGTAAAGATAAAGTAAATCAACCATTACAGAATATTGCGACCAAAGGCGACTATGTCATAGTTCATCAAAGTAAAAAAGCTTACTGACTGACTTTCAATGATCTGCTTATCTTCAAATTAACTTCATGGCTTGGAGATTGGTAAATGCGTTTGGTTTTCCTCTTTGCGCTTAGGTTTATGTCTAATTTATCCACCTCATCGTCCTCTTTCACCTTAATTGGAGATCTAGCAACAAAGACACAAGAAACTCTATTCTTGATCATCTCATCTTTTACAACAACAAATAAAAGAGAATATACACAGTTTCTCATGTTAAGCATTTCTATACATTGTTATCATTCATGCAAAAAAATGAAAGTGCAAGACAATGATATACATTAAGCCCTTGTTTTGGTAAGGGGATCTTGGATGGGAGGGTGAGACTTATTTCATTAACTTATTCATCCATTTATATGGTTGGGAAGACATTGAAGAAGAAAGAGGATTATATTATTAGACATTATTTAACTGAACATATGTTATGTTCTAGTCCATGGCTACTAGATAGAGAACAATTCAGAAAACAAAAATATGTCACTTAATACAAAAAGAAAATGTAGCATTGGAAATACTGAAAAGGCTTGAATTTATTTTTTTCCCGTTCAAAAATAACATTTTTTTATTTGTCCTGAAATTTAGGCCTTTTTCCTTTGTTTGTCTAACTCTGTCTACCTCCACTGAAATTTACTTTTTGCCCCTTTGTAAATTTTAGCATTTTACATGACTTAAAAAACTACATTTGCTGGGACAAAAACATATTTAAGCCTATAAAAATTTCAATACTTGAAAATGCTAAAGCGAGAAACTATGCATTTGAATGAAATCAGCTTAGAATTTGGAGCAAGAACAACTTACAGAGATTGAGCATTCTCCCATGGTTTTTCATCAATAGACTCTTCCCAAATAACGCAATCCCCAAAGCACTGAAGACAAGTAGTTATACCCTGAGATGAATTGAGATCCATAAATTTACCATAAGGCTCAAAACTAAAAGCTGTGAAACCAACTGCATAGGTTCTTATTAGCACCTATGATACCTAGCACTCACAATAGAGCATGGGTTACTTAATTGGGTCATAGTTAACATGGGTCACACCCACTATTCTAAGAATTGCTCTAGGCGCCCGACTAGTCCCTGCCTAGGCGCTAGGCGGTGGCCGGGCACCCATATTTTTGTCTAGGCATCCCGAATAATTGGTTTGACGCCTAGGTGAATTAGTCGGCTGCCTAGTTACCCGCCTAGAGCACCTAATCGCCACCTAGGGTGCCTATTATTATATAATATTTATAACATAGTGCAGTTAGGTGATTAGTTATTATATACTCCCTCCGTCCCAAATTGTTTTGCAAAGTCAACATTTTTTGGTCAACTAATAATAAAAGTCAATGCTCCATATCGATAATTAATTTAATTTTTAATAATTAAAATTTATATATTCAGAAACTACATTAAAATCTCTTCAAAGTTGTAAACTTCAAATTAGAATATAATTAAAAATTGACATCCTAATTAAGTGAATAAAATGAAACTGTTTGACCAAGAAAAGTGAAATTTGCAAATCAATTTGGGACGGAGGTAGTATTATTAAATCAAAAAATCTCATTCATGCATGTTAATGTGTGTGTATATTTTCCACACACACAAACACAATACTACTGTTTTACTTTGTATTACATATCTATTAATGCAAAAGTATTGATAAAAATACAATTTGTGTGTATCCGATTAGTGCTGCCTAGGCGTTGGGCTGGCGCCCGACTAGGGCCTAGCGCCTTTTAGAACATTGGTTACACCACACTAAAAGATTGGACTTAATTGTACAACATATACTCCCTCCATCCCACAATATTCACAATTTCAGTGTATCAATTTAACTCTTCTTTAAGTATATATATACATACATACACACACATATAAGTCTTAATAGTTAGAATTTACATATTCAAAAAGTACGGTAAAAGTTTTATCGATTCGCAAAAAGGAATTCAAATATGAAAAAAAAAATGTTACTGTGTATATAAAATCAGAGATCAAAAGAGAGACAAGTTGAATGTAAGCACCCTGTCTGGGAACATTAATTTGAGACAAAGTGAGATATCTTTGTTTAATATTTTGGAGATGATTCTTAAGATTACATACAGAATATGCAGTAGACAAACCACTACCTTTCCCTGGCATAGTAAACAGTCCTGCCTAGATCTCTCTAAACCACATTCAGTGCATGGAGTATATCCCCTTCCTCTGCAGCTTGGGCATGGAAACTCTCTGATGTATTGCCCATTTGGGCCAAACCATGATCTTAGTTTTGAAGGAACTCTTCTGAATAAATAAAAAATAAAAAGTGATAAGATGAACTAACTCAGCAAGATATACTTTACCTTGTAGTTTTTGTAATTCTAAAATATTCCTTCCCAAATGATCAAAAAAAAAATCCTTCCCAAGGACTAATACAAAGTTATATCATTAGCATGGTTGATGAGACCTTTTCAAAACTAACTAAACGCAGATAGCTTCCTTGATGCCTTATAATGAGTATGAATACTTGAATACAGTGGCGGGCCGAAGTACCGAACATGGGGGCAAATGGGGGCTGTTGTCCCCCCAAAATTTTATTTTTCTATTAATAATTACCCCAAAATTTTAATATATATGTATTTGTATTTATATTTTTACCCTGCCGCCCCCTCCTAGCCGGAATTCCTGCATCCGCCGCTGCTTGAATAGTATTCTCAACTGCGTTAGAAGCTAAAAGAAATGGGCCTGTAATGCTTATTGCATTTAAATAAATCTTGAAGTCTTCAGAAATATAGAAACACTTTTTCCTCCATTGGAATAAAGGGTGATCATATTTGCGATTGTAATGTTAATGGAAGTTGAATAAACCTTTGGATTAAAGGTTTAAATTTTTTGTCCTTTGAATAAAATGTTGATCAGTTGATCACATACATTCTCTTAAGAAAATACGGAGTATGAAGCAGCGTATGTTCAATACCATTCTACAAATTGCAAATATGCATGTAAATGTGCCATCCAAACTAAACTCAAAAACGCATTTAGGAACTCACAACTATCAATTAAGGAAGACCAACCATCAAATACCTTGGTTGCAAATCAGGTTCAATTCCAAATAGCTCAGCAGAAGGATCATCACCAATCTGTAAAAACTCAAAAGGGTCCTCAAAGATCAGTCCTTTAGAGTCACATTGTTCAAGAATGCCATTAAAGACCTTCTGAACTCACGGAAATGAACACTTTCAAATATTACCTGGTTTTGTTTTGTGGGAGAAGGAGAATCTTCATCATGGCTGAAAGAAGAAAACCCAGCACACTTTTTCTTGGGGTGGGATAATACGCAGTAATGGAAGTTGTTACTGTGCTTCCAATGGGGTTGAAAAGAAACCAGCGCTCGGAAATTGAAAGAGGACAATGAAGACATATATAAATTCATTTTCTTCGGGTTTGAGAGAGGGAGGGAACAATGGACCGAAGAAGATGTAACTTCAAAATTAGATTTTTAATTTTAAAGCTTGTGGATATGAGAACTCGCACAGTCTTCTTATCCAATTCTGATCTGCATAGTTGGTCGATTGCGCCATGCGTAATACTTCGGGTTTTACTTGTCCAAAATCCCTGTAAATTCGGGTTTTACTACAATCAACCTTAGACTATAGTGACTTCCAATAAGGAAATTTGGGAAGAAAAATTCTAAAGCTATGCACTTTTTTATATACACACTTTTACATATGACATGTGTATACGAAAAAAATGTGTACCCCAAGTCTAACTCATTTCCGACATAGTGTGATTCGGTCTGATTTGATATAACTTGTTCTGCTTTGATCTCATATAACAAGTAAAAACATCCTTAATTGTAGAATTTAAATTATAGATCTTTCAATAAAGAGATTTTTGTGAGTTTTCATCCAAATGAGCCACACACCCGATATTTTACTTTATTTTTATGAATTTTATAAGTATCCGAGATTATTTTGGATAAGGAGAACTCCTTGTGCGCTTGTATATGTTCAAATTTCTACATTTTGTTAGTGAACAGATATATAATTCGCCCAAAATATGGTTTGTGTCATCCAAATTTTATTTGAACACCGTAGAGAGTGTTCAAATTATGTCGTAGAGTGTGTACACACAAAACGTGTACATGATTAATTTTGTTTTGGATAATTATATTGGTTCTTGCTGAATTCATTTCATTAAAAAAAAACAATGAGAGTATACCAATATACCATTAAAAACAATGAAAGTATACCAATACTAGTACAGTACCCGTGCATACGCACGGGAAATAGCAGTTGGTGCATATATTTTTACTCATAATCTAATTAAATGTTAAATAAAAATAAGTTTGTAGTACAATAAGCTAACACCATAAGTATAAGCCCATATAATAAATATTTCAAGAAAAGTATATTAGGAAAAATTAATTGACACAACTAATTTGAATTTATTATTATTACTTTTAATGATTAAATTAATTTTAATATTAAATACTATTCTAAAAAAAATTCCTACACTAAGTGAGGGACATAAAGTATAAGTGATTATAATGAATATTAAAATTAACGAATATTAGTTAAATAAGAACTTGTTACTCATTAGTTAAATTAGTGCTAGCATATGAGAGAGAGAAATATAATGTTCAATTCTTAGTCGGTTTATCTTATACTTAAAGAACAACATATGAGAGAAAATCCGCACACTCAATTGTTAGCTGGATTTTATCTTATACCTAAAAACACTACATATGAGGAAAAATTATATTGCTTAATAATTAGTTGGTTTATCTTATACTTAAAAGAACTACATATGAGGAAAAATTATATTGCTTAATTAATAGTTGGTTTATCTTATACTTAAAAGAACTACATATATGAGTATTCCCTCGCTCAATTATCATCAAGCTTACCTTATACCTTAAAGCATTACATATGAAAGAGAGAAATTGTCCTGCTTAATTGTTAGCGACTTATCTTATACATAAAAGAACTATATATGAGAGAGAAAGTTCTTCCTTTCAATTATTATCAAGCTTATCTTCTACTACCTCCGTCCCACTATGTTTGGGACAAAGGGATGTGGCACAACATTTAAGAAAAAATGGAATTGTGTGGTTGATATTGAATTGATAAAGTGTGAATAAAGTAAGAATGAATGATAACCACCCAAATGTTACCAAATATGGTATGAGACAAACTTAATGGGACAGACGGAAAAGGTAAAACAGGACAAAGTTAGGGGGACGGAGGGAGTAATACTTATAAGCACTAAATATGAGAGAGAAAATTATTTCTTTGTTAGTCGACTGGTCTTATACCAAAAATCACTATATATGATAGATAAAATTCTAGCTCCCTCTCAATTGTTATCTAGATCATTTTATTTTATACCTAAAAGCACTGCTTATGAGAGAGATACATCTCTCGCTCAATTGTTAGACGGATTATAGCTTAATCATTCTTATTTCTAAAATATTGAATCTAAAATGACTACATAAGAGAGAGAAAATTCTTTCGCTCAATTGTTAGTTGGCTTATCTTAACTTATACTAAAAAGCATTACATATATGAGCAAAAATTATCCCGCTAAATTGTTAGGAATTTTATCTTCTTATACCTAAAAGTAATATAAATGAGAGAGAAAATTATTCCGCTCAATTGTAAGTCAACTTATTTTATACTTAAAAGACCTACATATGATAAAGAAAGTTATACCGCTCAGTTGTTAGCAAACTTATCTTCTATATATAATAACTAAAAGTACTACATATGAGAGAGAAAATTATTCCCCTCAATTCCCCCGTTCAATTGGTAGCAAGTTTATTTTCTGATTCCTAAAAACAATACATATGTGTGATAAAATTCATTAGCTCAATTATTAGCAATCTTATTTTCTTATACCTAAACTGGTACATATGAGAAAGAAAGTTTTCCCGTTCAATTGTTAGTCGGCTTACCTTATACCTAAAAGCACTATAAAAGGAAGAGAAAAATTCTTCCGCTCAATTGTTAGCCGGCTTATCTTATACTACCCCCGTCCCTTAAAACTTTGCCAAGTTTGATCGGCACAAAGAATAATAAAGTAAAAATTATGTGGTTAAGTTTTGTTTAGAGGAGAAAGAAATAACAGGAACCACAAAATAATTGATTAAAAGGGAAAGTGACAAATTTTATGGAACGTCCCAAAGAGGAAAGATGACAAAGTTTTAGGGGACGGAGGGAGTACTTAAAAGAGCGTACTATATGTGAGAGATAAAGTTCTTCCGCTCAATTGTAAGATATTTATCTTCTTAATAATAATAATACCTAAAATCACTACATATGAGAGAGAAAATTCTCACACTCAATTCTTTCGCTAAATTGTTTGCAATCTTATCTTCTTATACCTAAAACCCTTGCATATGAAAGAAAAAATTCTTCCGTTCATTTGTTAGCCGGCTTACCTTATACCTAAAAGCACTCTATATGGGAGAGAGAAATCATATGCTCAATTGTTAGCGGCTTATCTTATACTTAAAAGAACTATATATGAGAGAGAGTTCTTCCGCGCAATTGTTAGCTGACTTATCTTAACTTACACTAAAAAGCACTACATATGAGAGACAAAATTTTCTCGTTCAATTGTTAGCAAGCTTATCTTCTTAGCTTCTTATATCTAAAAGCAATACAAATAAGAAAAAAATTATTCCGCTCAATTGTCAGTCGGCTTACCTTATACTCAAAAAACCTACATATGAAATAGAAAGTTATCCCGCTCAATTGTTAGGAAGCTTGTATTCTAATACCTAAAATCACTACATATATATGAGAGAGAACATTATTTCCCTAACTCCCCCACTCAATTGTTAGCAAGCTTATTTTCTAATAACTTAAAGTCTTAAACCACCACATATGAGAGAGAAAATTTACCTGCTCAATTGTTAGCAAGATTATCTTCTTATATATACATAAACTCTTACATGTGAGAAAGAAAGTTCTCCCACGCAAGAGTTAGCCATCTTACCTTATAGCTAAAAACACTACATGTGAGAGAGAAAGTTATCTCGCTCTATTGTTAGCAAGTTTATCTTCCGATACCTAAAAGCACTACATATGAGAGGGAAAATTATCCCCTCGGTCAATTCCTCGCTCAATTGTTAGCATGCTTATCTTGTAATTTCTAAAAACACCACATTTGAGAGAGAAAACTCTTCCGCTCAATTATTAGCAAGCTTACATTCTTATACCTAAAACTCTTACATATGAAAGAGAAAGTTCTCCCGCTCATTTGTCAGTCGGTTTACCTTATACCTAAAAACACTACATATGAGAGATAAAAATCTTCTACTCGATTTTTAGCCGATTATCTTATACTTAAAAAACTATATACTAGGAAGAGATTTTTTTTCCTTTGAATGGGTAGCAAGCTTATTTTCAATATAATGATGATAACAATGAAAGAGTTCACCACTAACGATATTATTTTTCGAGTTTACAATGCATGTAATATTGCAAATTTTGTTATTTCTTTAGCAACTCTGACATTATTTTAGTATTGCAAATATATATATTGACATTTTTTTACATTAATTCATTTCTTTTACCATTATGGTATTAGTTTTTCATGGTGACATTTCTTTTATAATATGTTTCATTTTATCTAACATCCTATACTATTTTTTATTATTTCCAATAGTGATGATGTGATTGACGGATAATACTCACATTCATATACGAATTTGCTCATTTTTACTAATATATGACATTTTTAACATTATTGAGATTGTATTGAGATCAGATCCGGTCATAACAATTTAGATCCGATCATAACAATTCAGATTAGATCCGATAAGAAGAATTCAGATCAATCAGAAAGATTCATATCAAATCAGATCAGATCAGAAACATTCAGGTCTCATAAAAAACATTCAGATAAGAAAAGTTCAAACATGATTTATAATTAGATCAGATCATAAATATAATTGCAATTATAATTACAATTATAATCATAGTTATAATTATAATTAGTGTAATAGGTATTATTATTGTAATTTACTTTCAATTATATTTGTAATTATACTTTTATAATTATGAATATAATTATAATTATATTTAAATTATATTTATAATTACAATTATAAATATACTAATTATAATTATAATTATAGAAATATTAAAATCAGATCAGATCAGAAGAATTCAGATCAGATTAGAAAGATTCAGACCAGATCAGAAAGATTTAGATTATATCAGACCAGAAAGATTTATATCATATCAGAAAGATTCATCTCAGATCGGAAAGATTCAAAACACATCAGATAAGAAAAATTCGAAAGTTGAGATCAGGTCAAAATAAGAGCTTCTAAACATGCGGATCTCACATTTATATGCTTTAATTTGTAATCATGCAAAACATTATCGTACAAAGTGAGAGAAAGTTATATCATCTTCAAAGTTATACTCCGTAATACAAAATGGCACACGGTGACACGGATGAGAGAAATTTTCATTTGAAAAGATATGGTGTGAGAAAGAGAGAGAAATGAGTGAAGTGGAGTATGGTAATGAGGCATACG